GGGCTTGTTCGATACCTCAGAGACAGACGCCTAAACGTCTCATTTTGTTTCGGGAAATACTTTTTACAAAAACGAGAAACTACGAGAGTTCGCGTCAGCGAAACGAAACCTGTTTTGCTCATCCTGAGACATCCTGTGTGCTGGAGCATTACTGACACCGGGTTAGACCTATATTTCTGAACCAGCTGTTTCACGATGGGTGCTTTAGACTTTCTTGACGATGTTCGGCGCATGAATAAGAGACAGGTATTTTTTTTATCTGTGTACCATGTAGAATCTAGCACTTGCCTTTTAATACTTTCCCCAGTTCCCATCTTGACAGTACGTTGACAGTCTTTTATGCCCGAGACTAGACTAGACTAGACAACAACCGCACGACAACGACGCGACGTCTCAACTGCCAACATACTTTTAGAAGACCTACAATGACAATGATTATTTAATCTAATTATTAGGCTATTGTTTGCAGGCATATATTAACATTTTATTGGTCAGTGTCTCATTCACTCACAAAAAGACTCAGTCATGAGGAAAAGACCATAATTGGATTGGGTTGGGGTTTTTTTTCTTTTGGGGGGAAGGGCCGGAAGGTGGAATGGATGGGGGGAGGTTTTTGCAGAGATACTGACAGGTTAGTGTTATGAATATGAGGGGGTGAAAAATACAGAACCCGCTTAGCGACCTTTTGGAAAAAAATGAAGATTTATTACTTATGAATGCGCATTGTTAGATTGTTACCAGTTATAGCCTCTACAAGTAAAGAGCGCTGGAACGTTTCGTACACTGTCACTGTGGTAGGCCTACAACAATGTATCATGGTGAACGCAAAACGGATGATATTAGTCAAAAGGCTCGCCCTCTCACCTGGAATGATCGGCCTGAGCCAATGCATTAAGCGGTGAACGCACAACGGGTGAGAATAGCCAGCCGTGTGAGAGGTAAAGATACTATACTATAAAACTGTTTATCCGTTATCCTCACCCCAGGTGAGAATAGAGTAGAGGTAGCCTTACTTTAAAGTATGTCACATGTGTTGGGTTTTGGCCGAGGACGAGCCTTTTGGCTATTCTCGCCAGGTGTGCATTCACCGTAATACATTACAATGTCAGTGTAAACTGACATTCCAGCACTTTTGTGTTGAAAGCGCTCAGTTTTGTCTGTGGGCAGTGAGAGAGAGAGGGGGGGTAGCCTAGCGAGAACTTCTGGGCAACACAATTACAACCGTCGTAGTTCGCCTCGATTCGAAAAGTGAAATAACCGTAGCATGTTTGTAGATGATCGAATTAGTTTACACGTAAAAGCTATTATCTAATGTTATAACATCATTTTTTTTCATTGTTTTTGTCAATTTTTGATCATCCACACCAATAGACAGTATTCTCAAATTAGGAAACAGAACGTGTGATCTGTTCATAGAGGGACTCTAAGTATTCTAACACAACAAAATACAATACTTACTTACAAGTGTTTTTCAGCTTTATTATCAGGTGCTGAATTTTGGAATGATTGTGTCATCTGCTCTGATGATCTGGAAAGGCTTGATGGTGGTTACAGGCAGTGAGAGCCCCATTGTGGTGGTCCTCAGGTAAGATTGTGAATTTAATTTGTCTATTTTTAAGATAGGCCCAGGCTTTTTATCAAGTTTTCCTGGAATACTATGTTCTGAATTATAACCACTACTTAACTCTTTTTATCCAGGCTACGAGTATACTCGTAACGAGGACCTGTCCAGGCTACGAGTATTCTCGGAACAGCGATACGGTCACGTCAAAGAAGCTAGTTCTACTTGTAATTACCAAAATACGCAAATACGACGATGCTAGCTTTGTCTGAATATTTAAATTTTCCAATGAACAGTAGTTTCTTTGTTTTTGATGGGTGTAGAAGCTTGAAAGATGTCTCGAAAACGCACATTCACGACCGACGAAGTTCTTTATGAAGTGGCGCTGGGTTGTGAGGGGGAATGATACTAATTTGATGAAAGTGACTCTGAAATAAGAGCTGTAAATTCCGTTGTGGGTAATAAGAAACAGGACTTACACTCATCTAATAGCGATTCAGATCATGGTGAAGGGGTCAGCTGGAATTCGCGTGCCTATAGTGTACATCTATGGTAGGGCTAGATCTAGATCTATAAAATCCAATGGGACGTCGTGGGCGCGGCAATCAGGGTCAAGTTCGAAGGTGGAATACACCTCAAAATCTACATTGTGCTATTGGTGTATTTCCTAACCACATACATTTTACAAAAACTACATTCAATTTCTAACTTTTAAATTTCCTTAAAACCTTAGAGTAAACGTAAGAAATACAACACTATGACCTATACGCACTGACTTCCGACTCATACGGCGCGGCGGCCCCAGGACTGGTACCGAGTCCGTGGCGGTACGGCTAGGATAAAAAGAGTTAAGACATTTTTTTTTTAAATTCACTTTTTGAGCCTTTGAGGTCATAATAAGTCTTTTTTTTTTCTCATCTAGATGAGATTGTTAGTTCATAACCTGTAGACAAAGAATGGGAAGCTGTGCACGGTTGATTTAGTCAAACATAGACAGCATGAGTGTATAATATATTTTTTAATCTCGTTGTTAGTCATCAAGAGCAAACCGAATCAACTGAAAAGGTTGTATGTCAAATTACGTTTGGTTTAAAGAGTTGTGTTGCCTTTTAATGCATGTATATGTTCAACCTGTGTGATTTCAGTGGTAGCATGGAGCCAGCCTTCCATAGAGGAGACCTCCTGTTGCTGACCAACTACAAGGAGGAGCCCATCAGGGTTGGGGAGATCGTTGTCTTCAAAATTGAGGGCAGAGACATCCCTATTGTGCACAGGGTGCTGAAGGTTCATGAGAAGTAAGAAACTAAACTGTCCCTCCTTGTATCTATACACATCTTTGAATAAAGTTTGAAGTAACAAAATTCCTGCGTTCAAGAAATATGCCCATTGATGTGGCACTACAATAAATATATTTCTAATTTACTACATGAATATACTCCACTTACGATCCGTCAAAAAAAAAAACCCGATAAAAACTGTGCCTTGTGAAGCAAAAAAAAATCGGAGATATTGTTTTTCAACAGCTGCTCGCTCAGTGTGGAATTATGTCTGACTGCTTGTAAGAGAGGCGCATACTTTGACCGCACTTAAATCTGGTCTTAAAAAAACATTTATTTGTGCCACGACACAATGGAATCAGGCATGTTGAGTTATTGGGATTATCCGAAAGCGTATTCATTTGCCTTGCTTTTGATGAAAAAATACCCGTTGTACTTAAAATGAAAGTCAGTCCAGATATTTGTGATTGAAGAAGGTTGGGTGACATGGTTTCAGCTCTAAGATTATTGAGAAAATGGCCGCCAAAATTTGGTAACTTTAATAGCTTGAGAGTCCTAGAAAACTGAAAGTGAGATTCACATTGAAATGTACTTTCATAGGACATGAAAGGTGTTGAGCCAAAAATTAAAAAATTCGATAAGAATTGTTAAACTGGCGCAAAAATGCGTTTCTTTAATTTCATTATTTTGACAAGCACCTGATTTCACCACAAGCAATGCCTCACATTTAAATCTTATTTTACTAATAACCTTTTATTTCTCGTGTTTTTACAGCGCTCGCAACTGCATAAGGTCATATATGAGCGCGCGGGACACACCTAATATTTTCAGTTGGTAGGAAATTTTGAATTTTGCCCAGGTGGCGGCCGAAGTCTACTCTTATCGATTTTAGACTACCAAGGGATCTTTAACGTGCGCAGCCTGCACACAGGCCCTCCGAGATTTTTCGCTCTTGTCCGAGAAGGCTAGGTGTAGATCTTTCCTACCAGAAGATCAGGCGTGTGGCAGAAAGACAATTTTAGTTTGGTAATTTGACCCATGCAGAACTGCAACCGAATATATTATTACAAGGAGCTGTAACACATGTTCTTTTCCGTTTTGCTTGCAGGGTAGACGGAAAAATTAAGTTCTTGACAAAGGGAGACAACAACTCTGTGGACGACCGGGGTCTCTATGCTAAAGGCCAGCTGTGGTTGGAAAAGAAGGATGTGGTTGGTCGAGCGAAGGCGTAAGTTTTCTCACAACTCTGTCTTCAGAGATTTTGTTTTTGCTGTTATTAAAGTCTTCCAATACTGATCCTTGACATATGGTCGCTTTTAAGCACAGGGGGCTATCCCGAAAAATGCTGTTTTGAGAAAATCGAAGGTAAAAGTTTTTTCCCTTTGTTCAGTTTCATTTTTTAAAAAGGAGAGTTTTCTCTATAACCAAACAAATATACACACCACTGAGAACAAAACTTCTCCTATAGGTAAGGCAATGCCCACTTTTGGTGTAGGTCAAGATTTCTGGAAACCCCCGAAATCTGGGTTAGCCTGCTTGTTCTTTAAATAAAGCGACCTTTTGTGGCCAGTCAAAATGAAGGCGGAGAGTTTGGTCATACTACTGTTTGATGTCAAGTTGAGCAGAAAGTCTTGAAAGGATGAGAAAATTCGCTTTGCTATTTTCTTATTATTCCTTTCATTTCTGGCTCTCCTTTTTGTTTGTTGTTGTCTTTGTATTTTTTATTTGCTTGTTGTTGTTTTGTGTTTTTTGTGGGGGTGGGAGGGGAGAGGGTGTCAGACAGATAGACAGGCTGTTAAAGAACCTGCAGGTGAGGAACACCCTGCCAGGAGATAAAAGGGAAGGCCGTGCGGAACCTGGAGAGGTCACAGAGAATGATGTACAGAAAAGTGGGAAGACACGGACTGATATCAGGAGGTTAGCCCAGGATAGAGAAAGGTGGACATTTTTTGTTTGTCGTGCAGGGTGAAAAAGTCAGAGATGTTGATGGTTGCTTCGTTCTTTCCTTGCTTGGACTTTCTGTAGAGTGTTGCTGAAACCTAGCTGCAAGTGACAATAGCATCAACAACCTGACCTGAACAATCTCTCGTGTCCCTGTCTAGTAAGGGATGGTCGATATAGAACAGGATCGACCATAGTAACCTGAAATATAATACAAGACACAGAACAACAAACGCGCCATGTTCATTAGCCACCGCACGCCCAGTGCAGTTTCCTTTACTGAAGAGCTCTCCTCAAGCATTACAGTAGAGCAGTTTCCCTTGTAGGGCACACAACATCACTAAAGATGATTATCTTGTGTTGGCTAAGTCTTTAGCTTTCCTCACTCACTTCCTTGCCTAAGCTAACCTGGTTCCTTCTCTTAGTCATCCTAGTTTGCTTTGTCTTGTGAGTTCACAGACCTCAGTTTAATTGGCCCTAGCATCTTACTACGTACCTAATAATTCTACTAATTATCTCCATACCTGAATTCGAGGCAATGAACGTGCTGAGAAGCTATCCAGCCAGGCTGACATTGGCAGCACCATGCAATAAAGTACCGCGAGTCTTTCTGCTTTTTTCCACCACTCACGTAATGCCATTGGAGTCATAACCACGATCAGGGAGTCCTTTATAAATCACTCCTGTTTTGTCGCATTATTGCCAAAAGCGGACCCACCCCCTACCCACCAAGGAAGGTCACTAAGTCACTCAGATATCGAGGAAATGAGCTGGTTGTGTCCCTCCCACCTTTGCACCATCACGTAAACGTATGGTTAAGATCCCTCCCGAGCACTGTGTATTTAGGAGGAGACTTCTGTATAATTTAGTTAAATGCGTACAGATTTTTCACTTGGTGTTCTTTATGAAACTTGCTAACCAGAAACAACTAGCTTACTGTGAAATAGATTATGCCAATTTGTGTATGATGATGGTACAAAATGTGCCCCAACGTGGCCTAAAGTCTGCTACAGATTAGACGTAAGTGTCAGCTACATCTTTATAAAGTTACTTTTAAAAAATCTCTCTCACTGTTGAATAATTTCTATTTTCAGGTATTTACCGTATGCTGGAATAGTGACAATATTGATGAATGATTACCCGAAGTTCAAAGTAAGTAAACTAGATATAGCATCTTGTATGTGTGAGTGTTTGTAGTTTTTTTTAGGGGGGAGGGGGATGCAATGGGGTAAACTGGATCTGGTTCTTTTCAGATTCAAGAGTTTATACAATGCCATAAGAAAGGGTGTGGGTGGGTGGCGGATGCTCTGGTGGGGTTTGCTCCTTTTTTTCCAATCAAACATCTATCGTCCTGATCTCTCCTCATTCTTTTTAATGTTTGTTACTCTCTTGTAATGCCTCTAATCGTCGGCACTTATATGACCTCATTGTGCTGCAAATGCCGTAAAACTCTTACAAAAACTAAAACTAAGAAAGGGTGAATGTAAACAATCTTATTTTTGAAACTGGGGCAAGAGTTCAATATCAAGCTTAGGTCACGCACACCACTTTGCTTTGTTGTAGTAAGACTAGGACTGTGGGTGGCTGACGGGTGCTCTGTTGTGGTTTGCTTGTTCTTTCCTATGAAACCTCTATCATCCTTATCTCCCCATCTTCTTTTTTATGTTTGTTACTCTCTTGTAACACCTCTGATCTTCTGGCGCTCATATGACCTTATGCAGTTGCGAGCGCCGTAAAACCTCTACTAAAAACAGACTAGGACTGGTGAAGTTGAGCTGTGTCACATGTGGTTAGTGTTCCTTTCCTGAGTGCACGTGTTGCTCTTTTCAGTGGGAGGATGCTGTTCTTCTCTTTTTGTTTCTATCGCGGGTTTTTTGTTGTTTTTTTTAAATAATATTTTGTATTGCTGTGTTTGATTGTTCTCCGGAGTCCATTGTTCAATCATATACAGTTGTATATTTACTTAAATCAAAGTCTGCGGGACTGCAGGATTTTCTTCGGTTCAGCCGTTTTGGGGGGGTGTGGGCGGCCTGGGTCACAGAGGTTACTCCTAAAGAAGGAGAAAAATACCTTGGATTTTCTTCTTTTTTTTCTGTTCACTGCTGGTTTCATCAGATTAAGCAGATATTCAGTTTAAGTGGACTCCACTGCTTTTCTAATTGTCTGATTTTTGTTTTTGAATTTCTTTTTTCAGTATGCCATCTTAGCCTTCCTGGGAATCTTTGTGCTGACTCATCGAGAGTGACCCCTCCTTGAACCTAGAGATTTACGTTTGTCTGTGGATTGTGTTGTCTTCATGGTGACTTTGGCCTTGACCTACTACATCTGGAATGGATTGGAGAGAAAGAAGACATGGGCGCATTGTTGCGTTGTTTCTGTATTCAATAAGTGCAATGGGCATTGTTTGGGTGGGTTTTTCTTGTCTGTTGTTTGTACCCGAACTGACTGCCGATACCGGCAAAGGTAGGCCTAGACATTCAAGAAACGGCAAACCCGCGGCCTTATCATTTTTTTTTTGGTCTTTCTTTTTTAGTGGGGTGAATTACTATGTTCTTCAACATCTTTGAATGCCGGCGACGAGGGTTAAATTGGGGTTTCAACCTTTGGCAGTCTGTGGGTTAAGGAAGGGAATTTGTACGTATTTAGTGCCAGGTATTTGCGGTGGATTTTGGTGTTGAATATTTCGTCAAGGGTTTTTTTTAGACAATGAGAAGATCTTGATTCTGGAATTGGCGTGCCCACCAAGCTTTGAAGGTGCCAGTGACAAAGTTTAGTAATGCTTATTTTACAAGAAAACAAATGGCCTTTTGTTTTAGTAGCTCTAGCTGTACTGAATTTGAGGGTGTGTTTCTTCCTTTATTATTCCTTTTTTTTTTTTTATCTGTTAATTAGGGCAGGCCTCTTCAGTGCTGATCACATAAGTATATTATATTTATATATGTGGAGAGGTGGAATTTTTAATTTTTTAAAAAATTAACAGTGTATCTAGTTTGTTCTGTGTCTAGTGTGTGGCCCAACACAGCTGTGTGAGGAACTGACGCTCTGTGTCTAGTGTGTGAGGAACTGACGCTCTGTGTCTAGTGTGTGGCCCAACACAGCTGTGTGAGGAACTGACGCTCTGTGTCTAGTGTGTGGCCCAACACAGCTGTGTGAGGAACTGACGCTCTGTGTCTAGTGTGTGGCCCAACACAGCTGTGTGAGGAACTGACGTTCTGTGTCTAGTGTGTGGCCCAACACAGCTGTGTGAGGAACTGACGTTCTGTGTCTAGTGTGTAGCCCAACACAGCTGTGTGAGGAACTGACGTTCTGTGTCTAGTGTGTAGCCCAACACAGCTGTATGAGGAACTGACGTTCTGTGTCTAGTGTGTAGCCCAACACAGCTGTGTGAGGAACTGACGTTCTGTGTCTAGTGTGTGGCCCAACACAGCTGTGTGAGGAACTGACGTTCTGCCCGTTTGGCAAGCATTAGGGACTAAAGGTCAAAGGTAGCTTTTGCCGTAGTAAGGATGGTTTTCTTTCTTTTTGTTGTAGGTTTTTAATTTTAAAGAAAATAACCTACGCAGTATTTGACGTTGACTGATGTTCGTGTTCACTTTTTCTCTGTTTTCAAGGAGAGGTGGTGATGGACATATTTTCTATTTGCGACTGGTAAAAGCTCTTTAAATTCTTTTTTGTTGTTGTTGTTTTTAGGTGGGGGGATGGGGTTGTTTGGTGGTGGAAGGCTTCAGTGTTCATATTGTGAGGAAATACTGATGACAAAATCGTGTTGACTGAATGTATATTTGTTGTACCTGTTGTTATTTGTGTGATTTATTTGATCATATTTTAAGTCCTTTCTTGTGTTCTTGTGTGTGTGGATATGAGTATAATACCATTACCAACTTCATTTGTTTTTGTTTGTGCTGTGAATTCATTTTAGCATCCAGTGACAGTCAAATCTGTCTCTGGAATGAGACTGATTAAAATGTAAACTTTTCATTCATTTTATGCACTTCTTTTCTTTCTTTTTTTTTTGTTGTTTGTTTTTTTAATATGTGTTTTTTAAGGAATAATGAATGGTAAAGTTTTCAAGCACAGATGGATGCTGCTGTCCAGTACTTTATGTTAAGTACGTTTTCCAGCGACGCTTAGTCAGAGGAGTGAGTGAAAGAGTGGTGTTTGCTTTCCAGCATTACACAGATTGTCCAGCACACCTAAAAACATTTTTTTTTTTTTTTAAATGAGGTGGTTAGTGTTTGAGTATGAACTGAATGTTACCCTGTGTGTATTTTTGAGAGTAGAGTGAGTTGTCCATGGGTGTGTGAAGTCATTTACTGTAGGGGTAGGGGCTGGCTATAGGGCAGAAGCACTGTAATATTCAACTTTCTATGTTTAGAGTTAAGTCTTTTAAAAGAGTCTGCTTAGCTCTGAATAAGTCAGTTTTCTGCTATTGGCATTCTGTGGAAAGGCTGTTCACATAAGAAAAAGTGGAATAGCAACCATTTTGTTAGACATGGTGAGGATGTTATATGTGTGTGATAATGTTGTTGAGAGACCTGGATACTTGATATGCCTCATGCACAAAGTTTGGATTCATTCCACTTTATCAGACTTTTGTCTTTTCAAGAGGTGAACAATTTATGAGGAGAAGTTAATTGCTGAGAGTGAGAGTGAAAATGGCATCCTTGGATAATGTCTCGTCATCTTTTTTATTTCAGCATACATCTACATTACTGTTGTACCTACCAGACCTCTGGTATAACAATCATGTAGCCTCCATACATTGTATCTGTATGATGGTATGTTGCACAGGGGACCTACTGTGGCCATGACAGAAATTCAAAGTCTGAATGTGTCTCACCTTGTGGTACTGAGTAAAACTGGTGTTGGATTTTCTTTGGGACGAAGAATGATTATAAAATTATTTAAGTTTTGAGTATATTCTTTTGTGAAAATTGAATGTTTGTATCATGTGCATGGTCTGTTTGTTTATATGACAAGAAAGCTGTTGTGCATTTCTATCACTGTCCGTTACATATATAATATACGTGTATGGAAAAGATAGAGTGCACAGCAGAAGCAAAACTAGGAATCCATTACTTGTTTGTACTGTCAATGTTCTTAAAATCAAACGTCATCTCAACATCTTGCTTTCTTCATTTTCCTGTTATGGTTCCCAATTTGGGACTGGTGGAAGTTAAAAATCACGTTAATGTGTTTTAAAAATCTAATTAAAAAGAAAAAAAATAATGAGACTCATTTTTTGTTTCTTCTAATTCATCTTTGTGTCGTGTTGTATTTATGGTCGCTTTTCAGCACAAGGGGGCTATCCCCCCCCCCCAAAATGCTGTTTTGAGAAAAATTGAAGGTAAAGTTTTTGCCCCTTGTTCAGTTTCTTTAGAGGACAAGGAGAGTTTTCTCTATAACCAAACAAATATACTCACCAGTGAAACCAAACTTCTATAGGTAGTGTTATGCCCGGAAACCCCCTGAAATCTGGGTTAGCCTGCTTGTCCTTAAAAGCAACCACATGTGGTGACCACTTTGACTTTGCGGTTCTTGTGAAAGCTCAACAGAGAATGAGAAATGGCAGTTATTTGGTACTCTGCCATCCCAAGGCAAAGCAAAGTCTTTGGTAACTTAGAGCCTTTTGGTTGTTATTGGTTTGTAACACAGGAATACTTTTTAAAGATTTAAGATATGTGAGGTATTGTGGTGAAATCAGGCGCTCGTCAAAATGTTGAAATCGGAAAAAAACAGGAATTTTTCCAGGCTGAGGCTCGACACGACGTTTGTCTCCAATATTTTAATTTGTCACTGAACAACAGACTTAGGGAACCTCAACAAATGGGTAACAGGGAAAGATCAGGGAAACGTAGCTTTTTTCAGAGCATCCGAGCAAAGGAATGAATGGAAAACCATGATTGCCGATGTCTGTCGCAGATCTGGCACTGGATGATGATGATGTAACTGAACCGCTTCGTGAACTCACAAGTGGTCTCACAAAAAGCTAATAAAGAAATATAAAAACAATCTATAAATTTAATAAAAACCCTATGTGTGGCATTTAGTGAATTTTTTTTTAAAATACTGTCCAATGACAACAGAAAAAAAGGGTTGAAATGTAAATAGGGGAAAAAGAGGAGAAGAAAATGATGGGAAGAAAGGGAGCAATATATATATATGTATGTATAGAGAGAGAGAGAGAGTAGAACAGACCCGCTACTCGGCGTCACAACACAACAGACAGCCGCTGTGACTGACAGGGGCTACAGGCTGAAGGACAACAGCTCGGTCATCACTACGCTAATTGGAACAAAACTTCGAATAGATCAATTTTAACCAGGCGGACATCAAGTGTCAAGTTTGTAAATTTTATGTGAAGAAAATCCACTGAGGACGTCGAAAAATAATAAGTTTTAAAAATCGCTACCTCAGAATTTGCAAAGTTCTCTGCTCGCTCAGTACATAGTTTTAATAAATTTGACGTTAAAGAGTTTAATTATGTTTCATAATATGATATAATATAATGCTTATGTCATGTCAAGCTTGTTCTATTCTTTTGTATAAATGGTATAGGTTTAACGGCCCTATCAACACTATTAGGTTATTTAAGAGGCGTTGCCTCCTACTCCTAGTTTAACGTCCGTCTCCGATAGGACCGAGCCAAGTGGGAAATTCGTGTAAAGTGCCTTTCCCAATGATATTACTTCGAGCCGAGCTGAGGCTCGAACCCCCGAACCCGCAATATCACGATTACGAGTCCGGTAGCCTATTAACCACGTATAAGTAACTAAGTTATATTATAGGCTACCAACACCATGCAAGCTTTTTCAATTGCAATTCTTTGAATATGTATCTTGATAACGTCTCCGAATAATCTTACGATTTTCCTAGAGCAGTTTGAACCTTCGGTTTTTGATCTCAAGATCTCAAAAATTCTCAAAACGGCCAAAATGTCAGATAGAACTTTGTAATTCGGAGGAAGTGAGATGTCAACCCAAATTGGATAACTCGCAAACATTCGCTTTTCACCCTAGATTCTCTCCGTACTCCTTGGGGTCATTTTGTTCCCCCGGGGTTGTATTTTTCACATTTTAGAATATTTCTTGTACCGGTACGAAGGTCTCTTTGAAATTTTCAGTATTTCTCAAAAAAACATTTTAACAGACTGCTATGAACAGCGTAAGGATCAGATTAAAAAAACGAGTAACTTTCCTCTTTGGAAAGAGGTTGCACAGAGTTCCCCACGTCGTTAGGATACGATAGTAAAACATGTCGTACGCAATAGGGTTCAAAGCGTTCAGCTACAAGGGCGTAGTCGACCTGTTCAGGGATATTATCGGGATAAAGACTGTAAAACCACGACAGTCTCATCAGATGGATATCTCACCGTACACACAAGGTTTGGGAAAAGTTGAAGGAGAATACAGTAATTAATTTGCTGTTTAGTTATACAGGTCTCCAACCAACCACCAGTCTTGGTTTTTAGCTACTGGTATAATACAGAACATGGGTCCAAAACATAAGTTCTTAGACAAACAGCCCTTATCAGAGACCCCCCCCCCC